GCCCTCCCGCGTCGTTCGCGCCGCCCCCTCCACCCGCGACTTTACCTTGACCCGATTCTACTCAACGCCGCCCCACCTCAAGAGCTGCCCCACCTCCACGCCCACACCACCCCCCACGCCACCGCCCACGCCCATCCCGCAATTGCCCTCGAGATGAAAACCCTCTCCTCCCCTACCTTTGTTCCACCGACGCCCGTCGGCCTGCGCCGCGCGCATTCCCGGCTCTCCACCGGCGCAGCGCCTGCGCAGCGGCACGCGACGCGCCCGGTGCGCCGCGTGCGCATGGTGGCGGCCGCGGACAGCCTGGGGCTTCCGGCGACGTTGCGGTCGTTCGTGGACCAGCTGGCGGCGGTGCCGGACCCGAAACTGCGCTACCAGCAGCTGCTGTTCCTCGCCCGCGAGCTCCCGCCCATGGACCCCGCGCTCAAGACCGAGGCCAACCGCGTGCGCGGCTGCACCTCCGTCGTCCACGTCCACGTGTCGCTCGACGAGGACCGCCGCGTCAGAATGCAGGGCGACTCGGACGCACAGCTCACGAAGGGGCTGCTCGCACTGCTGGTCAACGGGCTCAGCGGCGTCACCACCGACGACGTCCAAAGCGTCGACTCCAAGTTCATCGAGTTTTCAGGCCTTGCCGTTTCGCTCACGCCGAGTAGGAACAATGGGTTCGTGAATATGCTCGCTAAGATTAAGGACAGTGTGCGCGGCCTGGAAGAGCAAGGGAGCGTGGGGGACGAGGAGGAGGACGCTTTTCATGTCGAAGACCGCCCCGTGTACTCGTCTATCGTGCGGAAGCTCCAGATGTTGAAACCGGTTGCCCTGGACGTACAAGATGACTCATCGAAGCACGCAGGGCACGCGGGTGCGAAGGGGCTGAATGGCGAGTCGCATTTCAATCTTCGCGTTGTTGCAGAGGCATTTGCCCCGCTGTCGATTGTGCAGCGCCATCGTCTGGTGTACACGTTACTCGCAGAGGAAATGAGTGAGGGGGGAGTGCATGCCTTGTCGATAGATGCCAAGACGCCGGAGGAGGCGGGCGTGGTGTAGGGAGTAATTGTTTTATGGTGTAGCGCTAGTGCGTGGGAGGGTTTGGTTGTCTTATTACACATATACGGGGTGATTGGGTATCGCTTTCATCCAACACGGGACGTCGATTCTTTTGTTCGAGGAGCCATGCAGTCAAAATACGTCCGCTCTTGGCAAAAGTTCGCTTGCGATGGGTGGAGCATGGCGCACATACGATCTGATCTGCCCGCCTCATTCCCCTCCAATCAGCGCTAGTCCAGAAAGACACCCGAGCAGGACGTACTTGAGCTGCGGGTAATCGTTCATAATGATAGTGAGCATGCCCGCGTATGGCAGAAACGCAAACGCTCTCCCCGCAATGTTTGGCCTCTGCAGCCACCGTCGCCCGCGCCCGTAGAGTTCGCGGTCGTCAGGGATATTATTATCGCCCTTGGACAAGATGTCGACGTCCAGGTTTTTGTCTTCATGGATCTTGATGATGCGATGCACGATCGGGATGTTGCGCTCGGGTAGCTTGTATACAACAATGTCGCCAGAAACTAGCCGATCTCGCTCGATGTAGTTGGTGAGGAGCAGCAAATCACCCCGGTGCACCCCGGGTTCCATGCTACCGCTCAGCACGACGACAATAGGACTTTCGGAATTAGAGATTAGCATGAAGATTTTGTAAGTGATCAGCGCGCCGGAGAGTAGCAGCCCGAGACTGATCACTTGCATAATCATCTTTGCGGATTAGTGGTGCAAGTCGGGAATGGAGTGGTAATTGTGTCAGCAGTTGCAGTCTACGTAACACAGAGAGCCTTCGTGATGCGCCGTAGGTCATCTCACCTGCCGCATCTTCAACTCCTTGAATCGTCTCCAGTAGAAGAGAAAAGTTTGGATAAACTCGACCATGCTTGTGTTTCTTGTGCTGTCAAGCGTTCCTGTGCGATGCAGTGAAGTCTTGATCTGACGCCTGCTCGATCAACAGGTGTCTGCCCGAGGGGCGGAAGAGCCAAGATGTCTGATGAGCAGATCAACTCACACGGCGTCTTTAGTCCCCAAAGCTTGGACGAGCAAGAACGAACGTAGACAAGACAAGCCTATCTGGTAGGGAAACCAATGTCAGTTTTCGCTATGTTGTTGATTGTGCATGACGAAAATATTCGTAAATAATCATATCTATTTTAGCGTCATCAAGCATCGAATGTGCCGTACAGTTTTGTAGCGCATGGTGCCGGAGTCGCCGCTCACGATGTGCTTGCTGACGTGCCCGCCCTTGCGGCATGGGACGTACCAGCGGCCGGGATACGTGGGATCGACCGGGCCGCACTCATAGTGCGTCGCCGGGCTCGGGTTCTCGCATTGCGGATGCTTGACACGCAAAAGGCGGTGGCAATGGCCATCCAGGAAGCACTTCTTCTCGATGTCCTTCGTGCCGCACGCGTCTAAGTCGCGCAAAAAGAACTCAAAGTAGCCGTTGTGGTTGGTATCCAGCTCAGCGGTAAAGTTGACCTCCGCACCCTTCTTATAACTCTGTGTCATGGGCACCTCCTTATACGGCACTAAGCCGCCTCCCATCTTGTAGTCATCGGTACCAACGGGGTATCCGCCCAGGCCTGCGCGCTTCGCGGATGACTCAAAGTCGTCAATCGGGTCGTACACCTTCCCCCCATCGGGCGGCAAGTTGGCGATGATGGTATCCTTATGGCCGCCGTTCTGGCAGTGTGCGCAGAAATCCGTGACGACATCGGGCGGAGGGGTCATGCCGTTTGGCGGGCACAGGTCCGAGATATACGCGGCTCTCGCGCGCAGTTCGCACACCATGCCGTGGGCCGCAGCGCGCGAGACGAACAGGAAGAGCAGCGGCGGCGGGAGGAACATGGCGGGACGGGCGTGCATGGTGATCGGTGGGGGTGGGGCTTGGAGGCAGGGTGGGGCAGGCGCGGTGCGGGCTTATATAGGTAGGTGGGCGGGCGCAGCGCGGATTGGAGGCGGGCGTGGCGGGCGCATGGCGGGGGTCGCGACACGGGGGTCGCGGCATGTCGCGCAGGTGGCGGCGCGGCGCGGCCCAGCGCATTTAGGCGGGCGGTGGAGGACGAGACGGGTGCGTGAGTGCCGGATGCGTGCGGATGGTCTGGCATTGGCTGCAACGGCAGCCCGAGAGGAGGAGACGGCGCCATGGGGTCGGGGGGAGCGTTGTGAGTTGTTGGTGAAGGCAGGAAAGATGGTATATGTGGCCGTAGGTTGGAGTCGAGGGTGTTGAATTTTTGGAAGTCTAGAGGCTTGTGATTGAGCAAGAAAGCACCGCACAGTAGCCTTTACTTTTTACTCACTATTGTCTGAAGTAGGTTATTGATTTGATGTAGCATAGCGTTTGTCGGAGCCATACTTTTGCGCACTTCAGTTTTCACTATAGTGACAACGTCTTCCTTTGTAAAACCCAGACTTCTAAAAACTACATTTTGTTCAGAGACAATCGACTTGGATATGGCTCCAATATGTTCCGACATATCCGCAATGTGCCCAGCAATGTGCCCAGCAATGGCATCCTCTCCGCGAAACCTCGTTCGGCGAGTCCCCGTAGCTGCGATTTTGCGCTTTCTTTTCATGGAACCGAGTGTTCCTTCGCAACTATCCTCGGTACCTACTACAACAGCTCCACTCGACACGGCGCCATCTCCCGACTCTCCCTCGATTCTACTTCCATTATCTTCTTCGTCACTTGATCCTTCTCGCTTCATCGCAGCGCACTTGTTTTGGATAGCGCGGCCTATCCCTTTCGCTCTTCGAACGGGGTCTGGGCAAGATGGGTTACCCGTTTTCTTTTTGGAGTTGCACAATTTGTCGAACTTGTTGCGGAGAGACTCGAATTCTCTTTCCGGACGTTCGTTGTCCTCAGCCCATTTTCGAAACTTTCTCGCCACAATGGCCCAGTGGTTGGAACCTAGGGGCTCAACCTCCTCAACAAAGTCGAGTAGAGCAGTGACATCCTCTCGGCTGTAGTTGGGAGCGCCTGCTCTCGTAGCCTTTGTTCTGCTGCGATTGCTTCTGCGAGGCTGGGTTGAGGGGTTTGGACTGGGAATAGAGGTTCTTGCGGAGGAATGAAGCGAGGAAGAAGGAAGAATAGATGGGCCTCTAAAGGGTAAGTGTGGTGCTTGGTGCGGCAGAGGAAGTGCTGGAGAAGTTGCGCGTGATCGAGATTGAATGGGAGGGAGTGGCACCGGGGATTGAGTTCGGGAAATGGGGGTGGACATTGGAGGCGGAATGGATCGCGATAAATTCACAGTCCGTTAACGTTCAGAACCGATCTTCTTTGTGTACAGCCTCTGCGAAGTTGGTCTAATTGTGTGATGGTGGGTGGGTTCTGCGTCGTGAGTATTACACAGCTTGCGCCAAAATCATGGCTTTGGCGATTTGACGAGGTGGCGGGGCTTATTTTTAAAAGACAACCAAAATTTGGCGAAGTGGCGAAATTGCAATTTCTGGATGGACCCAGCCAGTATTGTTGCTCTCGTTTGGTGGCAAACTACACAGTGATACACCTCACAGGCGCATCATTGATCTGGCATGTATCCGGGATCAAGTTCTTCCCCTTTCCGTCCCACATGATTCACCATGCATGGGAACTACACACTATTCTTACCCTCAATGCGCTTGGTTTCACGAGTTGAAACAATGCTGTTGGTAGTTTTGCACTACAGTCTTCTGAAATCAGTCAGGTCTGTATCCATTTGCGGCGCGGTCTTAGAGCATCCCCACCGGTAGAATCAAATACCCAAACAACCAAAATTTGATGATTTGATGTCGATTGAAATCCCCACCGGTGCAACCAAATCATCAAATTTTTGGTGTCGATCTAAAAATCGGAACCAAATATCAAGAATTTGGTTCGGATAGTCTCTGTTTGATTACCCTTGACAATCCAGTTGTGCACGTTCTATTGGTCGACCGAAACGGCTTCCCACCAAAAAGTGCATCGATGCGGTATTTGCCTCGAGATTACCAGTGTCTCCCGCCGATCCAGAATGCTCACTACGGCGTGCATGCTTTTCCCCCTTCCATCCCTCCAGAACGTCGACGGCCCCGCCATCCCTGATGCTCTTCCCCCTTCCATCCCTCCAGAACGTCGACGGCCCCGCCATCCCTGAGCGCGTCCTTCCCCGCCCGGCTCTTACACAACAACAACACTTCCTCGACCAACCAGGCGCGAATCTCCGCCATCTCCTCCCGTCCCACCTCCTTTGACCTCCCCAAGCACATTGCGACCGCCGCCGTACCCCCACCAACACATCATGGCACTCGTCCGCCATCGCGCAGTTCCGCACCCAGCTCGCCCCCGCCAGCCTCTTCTCTGCCTCCCCCGCCTCCAGCAATCTCAGCAACCTCGTCAACAGCTGTCTCTCCGCCTGCCTTCCCTCGACCAACAGGACGTCCCTCCCCTCCTGGCTCGCGCACGCATTCGACAGCCGCAGCACATTCGGAATACTCGGTACCCTCTCCACGAGCACGAGTAGCGTGCCCCTCTTCCGAAACCCGTCCGCGCCCTCCGCTTCGTCCACGCCCGGCGCGAAGCGCGTCAGGTTGGACAGCAGCGCCGCGTGCAGCGCGACGACGTCCGCGTCCAGGACCACCTGCACTGCGAGCCGCACCGCGTCCGCGTGCGTCAGAGCCGCCGGCTCCTCGTCCTCCGACAGGTTCACAAGCGCAGACAGTGCTAGAGCAGTGCGATTCGCTGCTCAGCAGCAGCAGCAGCCGCAGGAGAACGTCGCTCGCGGCTGTCGAGCCAATCATCCGCCGCAGCACCGCTGCCGCCGGCGCGTATGTTCTCTCCGGGATCGCGCTGCTCGCGGGCGCGTGGGGAGCGCGTGCTGTCCGTGAGCAGGGAGGACAGCGCCGGCAGTCTGTCTTTGTCCACGGTGCAGGTGAGAGGGAAGGAGTGCAGACAGAGTGGCGAGGGAGAAGGTCGCGGGATGGGTTTCGAGTGAGCGTGCGACTACGACTGAGGGTGCGATACGAGGGTGAGTACGAGTGTGAGTACAAGGATGCGATGGTGAGTACGAGGGGAATGTACTTCATTTGGTTCTCACCGGTGGGGCAGTTCTTTCCGAAGCATCAAACAGCCAAATAACGAAACAACCAAATTCTAGGGAGCCAATCAAATTACATAAAAAGTGTGCCAAGTGTTGCTATTTGATGATTTGATTGCGTACCGGTGGGGATGCTCTTAGCATTCTATTTTTAAAAAGTAAACTAAATCAAACAGAAGCAAAAAGCCTCGTCATGTCGTTTGTAGCACTCCCAGGTTATAGATCAGATCTCAGATGTTCTAAACTGCTTTATTATCCTAAGTGAGTTGTAAAAGTGGTCTCCCTGTCTCCAATGTCCGAGGGCTTCACCTTAGTATTAGCGCGTATCACATCTCCGAAGCGAATCTTATGCTCCATGATCTTTTGCACAAGAGGCATATCAACCACATACCGATGCCAGTTAATGTTTTCATAGTAGAATCTGTCTCCATCGCGCAATCTTTTGAATTGGTCAACGTTGATTGCGTGGAGAAGGGGACCGAGAAGGGAGCCTTCTTGTGCCGTCTCTGCAAGACCTCCAACAAACGCGTCAATCTTCTTCTCATCTCCATACACGTCCAGCAGCTTTCGCCGGAGGTCTGGGTGAATATTTTCTAATCCTTTTCCAGTTTTGAAAATCTTTTGGAGAGCTTTGTAACTCGGGATCCCTAAATCCCTTGATCGTTGAATATTTAAAGCCACCAAGTCAAGTATACCCTGCTCGTTTGGATTGAAGAGAAAGTCTCGAAGTGAGTCACTTATTTTTAAATCGATGTTAGAAGCAGGCGTGTTCATGGCTGCAAGGATAACGTTATCCAAACCATGACTGTCAAAGAGTTTAGTGCCGAAGAAGAGGTCCTTCAGCGACCGTCGAACGGTTTTTCCTTTTCGAGTTTTGATGTCGAAAGTTTCGGGTACACCCGAATGACCCCAACGGTAAGCAAAAGCAGCGTGTGAAGTAGAAAGCCTCGCGTCAACGCTTGGATTGTAGCCGTTGTATTCTCCGAGGGCATCTTTTCCGAGCATGGCTGGCACAAATTCGTTGAATGTGATGCTTTGCAGTTCGGCAATAACAATGAGCCGCGCTTGATGATAAATCCACTCGTCTTTTGTCCTTTTTTTGCTTCGCCGTGTACTAGTCCATTGTCGTATCAACCCACAAACCCTGTTATGTTCCCTTGCAAAGAGCGTGTGAATGGAAAGTAAAAATGGATTTTCATTTGCTCGCCCATCCCCGGCGACGAAAAGAGTTTTCTCACGTCCATCGCTTTCATTTTCTAGATGGAATGCTAAGTCCTTGTTGTTGTTGACAGGTAAATTTTGTTCCCCCTCGCGCTGTTTCAAAAGAAGCTCTCCATGTTTAAAAGACCTCAGTGTTATCGCTCGCAAGTTGTCCGACCCATAAATCGCCCCGCCGTCAATAAATGAAGTCAGGGTGTTGAATGGTTCTCCCTTCCACACTCGATCCGTCGAATATTCCTTGCAACATTTTGCATAGTCAAAACGCAAAATGGCAGACCTTGTGAAAGACATCATCTTATCGCTACCTGGGTGTGGCATGGGCGCTTGGCGTTCTTCATCTATCTCTTCAAGTGGAGTTGCAGTCAGTTCATGGTCAATAAACTGACCGAAAAAGATCATGAGGGCGTTGGTATTTTGCGGGGCATGAATTTGTTTTTTGGCAAGAAACAACTTGTTACTCAAGAAACGCGGACTGGGAGACCACTTAAGGATGAAGGAGGTGGGCTTCCTTTTCTCCCTAACATCTTGCCGAAACGGTTGTATCGTCACACCCGATATGGTATTCTCACGGTTGTTGCACAAGCCCGAAACTGTGGGTCGTTTGCCGCACGACTTGACACCAAGCGATCTTTGGGCATTGTCTGCAAAATCGCGAAGCAAGCTTGTAGCGTGCAACCTCTGTTTGTATCTCTGAACATGTGAGTAAACCCCTTGGCTAACAAGCCACATGTGCAGCTCCGCAAAGTGAGCCGAGACGAGGATTAAGCGTGAAATAAGGACAGTGTTCTCCATGGGGACAGGGTAAACGTCTAATGACGACTGCTTGAAAACGAAAGCTACAATGTGTCTTTTCGGGCTCTTTCTTTTGATCGGAAACAGCTCTGTCCGTTTCTCTGAATTGTGGTGAATCTCGAGAAGGCTTCCGTGTTTCTCGACGCTGAGAATTTGGTTTCCGAAGAGCAACGGTACGATGTCAGGAAAACGGAAGCTGCGGATGGCTAGATTAACTTTCATGATCCCGACCTTTTTGTGAGAGATTACCTTGCCCCCAAAGAGTGATTCAAGATTCATGGGACTTGCGCTTGACGGGAATACATGATTGAGAAGCAAAGTCCCAAGGCAAAGGATGGCCAGAATCGCCATGCGGGAGCGTTCACAACAAGAGAAGGAATGATGGGTACGGTTGCGAGCACAAGCTGCGCATCATCAGGGCTGGGGGTGGTCGAATGAATGAGAATAGCAAGAAGTAATATATGCGGGATGGACGTGGGCTTGTCAGAAAGTACGTGGATATTTGGGATATTGTCAGCAAGGTGGGAAATCTCGAAAAGTTTATTCGCCTTCGGAAAGGGCGAGATCATGGTGAGAGGGTTTTGTATGTATCGGGGGTTTAGAAAAAGTGGAAGGAATGCAGTATCAGTGAGAGTGTTCAACTGGCCTGAATTATGAAGACCTTCACTGTCACATGCACAGTCTGGTGAGGCGAGGTCGGGAGACTGGTCAAGCATTTAAAAAAGTAAGGGCGTGACGGGGCATTGGAGCTATCTTGCAACCACTGTCAATTGAAGCAATGGGCATGGCACCGCAAGTTGTGAGAGAATGGGCATGGCAAAGGCCGCCGCCTTCATTGGATGTGCAAATGAGGAAGAGGTGTTGACGTCCACGCAGAAGGTTAAGAGATAGACACCGCCTCACCGATGGAGCGAAGGAGTCACATGAGTCAGTCGCAGTACAGTACCTGAATGGTAGTAAAAATTTCCAGCGAGGCAACGAGTATCCATCGCTCCACCTCCTTCCTACACACGCTCATCATCAATCTCGCCTTCTTCAACCACAATCTCCAACCACAATCTCCTTTCCTTCAAAGGGCCAAATGTTCTCCGCTTCCTCCACATCACCGACGTTTCATCCTTCCCCCGTAGCCTTCCGAACGCCTCGACCGCACCGAAGCTGCCAACCCCGCCGACCCCGCCGACCCCGCCGACCCCGCCGACCCCGCCGACCTTCACTACACATTCGCCCTCGCTTCCTCATGTCTATGCCCACCAGTCCTCCCAGGCCCGCCATCTTGCTCACCAATGATGACGGCCTGGCTCCCGACCGCGCCCTCGTCCTCCCGCTTGCTCAACGACTCGTCCAAGCGGGGCACACCGTCGTCGTGGTCGCCCCCTCCGAGGACAACTCTGCCTGCGGCCAGCGCATCACGCTAAAACAACCCATGACTCTCCGCCGCCACCCCGCTGAAGAACGCAAATACGGCCTCGTTGACCCTCCGAACGCTCGTCAAAACGGCATCCCCGCCGGCAATCTCGCCGTCTTCTCGCTCGACTCCGGCACCCCTGCCGACTGTATAATCGCCGCCGCTGAGCCGCACATTGGCCTCCTCGCCAAGCTGCACGTCGCGCCCGTCCTGACGGTGTCCGGGCTCAACTTGGGGCAGAACATGGGCAACGACGTGCTGTACTCGGGCACGTTTGCCGCGGCGAGGCAGGCGGCCATGTACGGCGTGCCGGCTGTGGCGGCGTCGCTTGACATGTTTCATGCGGACATGAGTAAAGCCGAAGACGTAGCCAGCGTGAACAAGGCGCTTGACGCGGCGACAGAAGTGACGCTGGCGGCGCTGAGAGCGGTGCCGTTTCCGCTGCCCAACCGGCCCGAGCGCGTGATGCCCAAGGGTGGGACAGAAGTACCGGAGACAGGGTTGCGAGAGGCGTTTGGGAAGGGAGATGTGGTACTGAATGTTAATGTGCCGAAGGGATGGCAGGGGGCGTACGAGACGACGTGCTTGGATGCGGTGCAGTATCGGAACGCTATGGGGGTGGATTTTGTTCCCGGGGAGGGGGAGGAGGTGCAAGTGTGTATTGCAGAGGCAGAGGCGGTGAGGATGTGGGCGAAGGGGACCGATTCGGTGGCTGTTTTGGAGAAAGGGAGGGCGAGCGTAACAGCGGTGTCGACATGGCCGCAGCCACACCCACTAGCGGTGAAGCCGCATGTGCTCGTAGAGGGAGTAGGGGACGGGCTTCCTGGGTGGCTTGAGGTTCAGAGCCGGGTGGCAGGGAAGACGTCGTAGGTGCGGGCTACGCAGTCGGGGGGAAGGGCGAGGTGACCTCTAGGGGGGAAGGGCGAGGTGACCTCTAGGGGGGAAGGGCGAGGTGACCTCTAGGTCATGTGTGATAGGAAAAGAATAACGTGCCGATGTTAGTTATTTTTTTGGAGGAATTTTGTCAGAGATCGCTGACCTTTATGGGAGCACACCCAAATGTTGTAAAACCGCAATGCCACCTGTAGGCTGATCAATTCCTCGTTACCGATCCCAGAGCAACCGCCCCCCATCGGCTTCCTTCGTCACCACTATGGCCGCCCGCGTCGTCAAACAAGTCATCAAGATGACCCTCCCTGCCGGCCAGGCCGCCCCCTCCCCTCCCGTGGGCCCCCGTCTCGGTCAGATGGGGGTCAACATCATGCAATTCTGCAAAGACTTCAACGCCGCCACAGCCGTCTACGTCGACGGCACCCCCCTCACCACAAAGGTCATCGCCTACACCGACCGCTCTTCAGCCTTCAAGATCCGCTCGCCGCCCGTCTCTTTTCTACTCAAGAGTGCTGCCGGCGTGAAGAAAGGCGCCACCTCCCCGGGGCATGACGTTGCGGGAAGCGTCTCTTTGAAGCATGTTTATGAGATCGCAAAGATTAAGCAGAAGGATCGTCATCTGAGCCATCTTTCACTTGAGATGCTCTGCAAGTCAATCATCTCCACGGCAAAGACCTGCGGAATAGAGGTCCAAGGGCCGCCTCCTGACCTCATCATCCAACGTATCACATCGCCAGACGATGACCAACCTCAACCAGCTGTTGCTAATCAATGACCCGACCTACTTACCCTCAAAACTTGCTGCATTGTAAGTCCTATCAAGTCACACCCTCATGACATGTCCAGATTCAGCTTGTCTTCGTTGGCGACGACGCGCATGGTCGACAGCGACTCATCGCTTGCGCCTGACACGCTCCCTCCGGCGTCGAGAACAGCCCGTAACACATCAATGCATTCTCTCGTTATACGCTCTCCGGGCACTACGACAGGGATGCCCGGAGGATAGGGACACAAACTTTCCGCACTGATGCGCCCGACAGCTTCGTCAGAATCCACCACCTCCGCATCGCTGAAGAAGGCGTCCCGTGGTGTCAGTCCCGTTGGTTCGGCAAAGGAGCTGCAGCCTGCAGATGGTTCGCTTTCCTCCGGTTCGAGGTAGGGAAGACCCTCGCCGGAGGTCGCTTCGTACAGCGCGAGCGCTGTTACAAGTCGGTTGATGTCGCCTTGCACATTTCCAGGGGTGATCACAAACGTAATATGCTTGAAAGATGGAAGCTCCGCGTACACCCCGAAACGATCGATAAGCACAGTATCCATGTCATAGCCTGTGATGTTGTCCGGCAGAAGAACAGTGATGCGTGTTGGGTCTAAGGCGTAAACGTATGGATGCCCCAAAGCGTCTTTCTGCAGCATGCCTACGTTTTCTACGCCTAGGACGGAGAAGCCCTTCAAACTAGCGATACGCACTGCACAATTTCGTGCAATGTCGATGCTGCGAGACATGAGATCCTCTCCTTGTTCATCCATGAGAGCCCGCGCGGCCTCAAGGGATACGAGGAGCAGATTGTTTGGGCTCGTGCTCTGGACCAGTTGGAGCGAAGCAGCAACTCTCTGGCGGCTTAGGGATGATTTGCGGACATGCATCATCGCTGCTTGGGAAAGCGCAGATAATGTTTTGTGTGTACTCTGTACGACGATATCGGCGTTGCACTCTGTGGCAGATGATGGTAAGAGATCGTGGAAGGCAAAGTGTGATCCGTGTGCTTCATCAACGAGCAGCATGGCGCCATGCTTGTGCGTTATCGCAGCGATGGCTGCGACATCAGAACAAGCGCCGTGGTATGTAGGGGATATTAGTAAAACGGCGTCCACTTGCCCTTTGTTTTGATCCAGTGCTCTTTCAATGCTTTCCGTGGACACTCCGTGCAGTAAGTCATGCTCAGCATCGTACAGCGGTTGTATCCAAACCGGTATGGCGCCCGTGAGCACAAGAGCATGAACGGCCGACTGGTGCGTATTCCTCGGCAGAACAATTTTCCTATTCGGACGCACTGTCGACAAAATTGCGGCCTCGACTCCGCACGTGGAGCCGTTCACCAAGAAGAAAGTGTTCCACGCGTCAGCGCCTTCTTCCGTAAACGTGTCTGCGGCCAGTTCTTGCGATTCTTCTAAAACCCCTTCCGGGGCGAAGAGATTGTCCAGCGCCGGGAGCTCAGGCATGTCGAGGGGGAATGCCGCATCACCCAATTCCTCACGCAGACGCGGGAATACAGCGGCGCCTTGCTTGTGACCCGGGCAGAAGAAATTGGCTCTGACATTTCGCGATTCGCGCACAAGAGCATCTAGGAGAGGGGTTGGAGCTGATGGAGGGGATGTCTGGGGGGCGTCTGACCTGTCCTGGCGTTCACCATTCTGCAAACTAACGGCGTGCGAGTGTAGTGGCTTTGAAGATTTTGTCGAAGCGAGCTGTTTTCTTGGACGCCAGGTAGTGTTTCCGAGAAATGGGGATACCCAAGCTGCTAGCATGGTCGTTCGTGCCATTGTCGATGCCACTAAGTGACATGCATTTGCTATTGTGAGAGCATAGAAAGGGAGGACCTCGATGGAGGAGATTGCAAATTGTGGGATAAGCGCAAAGATTTGTGTCAGGATATTTATCAGAAAAATTACATAATTAGTCACATTTGGTTTCATTTCTTGGCCTAAAGAATGAGAAGATGTCGTTACTGCTCCGCTCGATGTTACAGCCAGAGCGCGGAGAACAACAAGATACAAAAGATGGTTCTCTAGTGAACCAACTATTTATGCTGATAAGCAGCATGCCAAGCCTGTACAACCTTCCGTAGATTAAGTTCGAGAGCAAAAGCATTCCCATACATCTTGTTACCATACATTTTGTGCTATACAATCGTTGTTCTGCTTGCCGGTTTACCGCCACGGCAAACAAGGTCCCCCAAAAGGTACAAAATCGCAAACCCCGCCAGCATTCGCTCAAAGTTGACGGACTTTCAAGTCTTCCTGCCCCAGCGATGCACAGCCTGCGTGGTTATTCGTGGGGAATCTGTACCGTGGCAAAGTCCTGGATCATGCTTGTGAACAACCGCCCTAAACGGTCAGACTCCTTTTTCTGCTGCTGCTTGCAATCGTCGAGATCCTTTTCCATACGCTGGCGATCTCCATCACGCTCTCCCTTTAGCTCTTCCACTTGTGCAGCCAGAATATTATTGGCCTGCTGGTCTTGCACCAACTCCTCTCTCAGGTGACCAACCTCGGCCTGCAGTGCCGCAATTAAGGAATCCTTCCTATTCCTTTCCTCCTCTTGCGTCCTGGACAACAAATCCAATCTCCTCCTCTCCACGTCCTTCGCCGCCGCAGCGCTGGCAAGAACCTCGACCATAATCTGTTTCTCAATAAGCGCGGCGGTTAAATTCTTATTGTCCCTCTCCAGTCTAGTTGCTCTAGCATGCAGCTGTGCCATTTTTCTCTGCACGGCAATCATGGTAGCTGTAGTCTTGTCCAAAGCGAGTTGTCTCTCCCTGCGATAGCCTTGCTCCTCTCTTACACGGGCCTCGCGTTCAGCATCTCTTTCCCTCGTGAGGGAATTAATGGCCGCCTGAGACTCGCTTTCGAGGGCCTCCAGCTCCTGCTCAAAGCACTGCTTTTGCATGTTCAAGACTTCCGTAGTACGATGGGCGTGCTCCATACTGAGCTCCTGGATCTTCTCCTGATACGCTGCGCGGAGCAGGCGTTGGCCGTGGGTTTGCGATTGTTCAAACGAGTCGCGGAGGCGCTGGCGCAGGCGGGCTACCCTGCGGGTCAGAGAGTCGTTCTCTTCGCATAGCTGGGCGCATTGGTGACAGACGGCATCTTCGGAAGGGTCCGAGGGCAGAGTCGGCGGGGAGTCTGGCGGAGGCGTGGTGGGGCCTGACGTGTGGACAATCTCGGTAAGTTGAGGCGACTGCGGGAGGTCGACTGGACTCGCGGGTTCAGTTAATGGGTTTTGTGGTGATTGTGGGGTTTCGGTGGGCGAGTGTTCGATGTCGGCGGCTGCGGTTTCGGATCCACAGGGTGCGGGGACTTGTTCGTGGTCCACCTTGTCAGGTTGCTGGTCCGAGCTTTGATGATGTGCATCTTTGGGTAATGAGTGTTGAGGAGATGCTTGGGTATTCGCCTCGCCGACTTGATCCGACAGACATTGCGGAGGGGTTGTATCTGGAACACTGGCCGCGTTGTCACCGGTACACAGATTGGGTTCAAGACCTTGCGGCGGTAGCGGCGAGACGTCAGAGGCGTGCGCAAGGAGGCGTCCCTGGTTGGGGAGGTGTTTCTCCATGTTTCGGTGGGGGGCGGTGAAGTGTAGGGTTTGGAAGAGGAGGCAGGCGGGCAGGAAGGTGCGAAAAGCATGGGGAGGGGGGGCAATTTGAGTGGTGCTCGGTGTCTCCCGCTGGCATTCGCCTGGTGGGCGTGTGGAAAAGAAGCAGTTTCAATTGATGCGCAGGTTTGCATTGAAATTGGAAAAGCATTCATGTAATTATTGGCCGGTAAGAGACGCTGTGTCGTGTCAGCACACGCCTGCAGTACGCGGAAACACAGCTGATAGGCGCCTCGAGACGTGATCTCATCGAAATCTCACCGAAATCTCGGTTTCTCGGCGACTCATCGCCTGCGCCCCGCTGGAGGGCTGCGGCGCAGCGTAGCCTCATGCATGCGACCCGGCCCGGGGCCGTTCCTAAAACGAAGAGTTCGCCGTGCCAGCACCCGAGCACCCTGAAACTTGGCATGAATGTATTGGTTGAAAAAATTATTGGAAATGCTTTTACTCCCGTTCAACCAATCCATTCATGCCAAATGTCCGGGTGCTCGGGTGTTAGAGCACCCCTAGTTGTCGTACACTGTGAGACTCTGTTCGCTACAGGCCTTCGACCGGCCTGTTTCTTCCTTTGGCGCTGTCCGTCGGCGGAGAGTGCGCAAAAAGAGAAGAGGTTTCTGCAAAAAGAGTCGTCGGTGAGCAAGCGGCGGTCGCAAGCCAGGGACGAGCTCACTTTATTAGGAGCTGGAAAGTAGTAGAAGTTGATTGAATCACCTGAAAATAAACCCAAATAAAAGACTAAACGGAACCAAGCGAGCACTATATTCTAGACATCTATTGTCAAGAATGTGAGAGTGCATTCCTACCCCGTCACCATTACACTCCCACCTCTTCAGATAGCGAGCTTGATTCATTGCACGTGATCCACTGCTCCACTTCACAGTGATCAATACCAGTGAATAGCAGCATTGACAGTGCTCCACTGTCCTTAACTTTCGATAAACCATCGGCAGGATTAAGATCTGTGCACACGAAGCCAATTTGAGTAATATCAAAGGATTTGTATGCGTCTCGCGCCCCAGCGATGTCTATCATTAGCCTCTTTTCGGTTGTCTGTCTGTCTTTTGTGACTGAGTCAAACAGCTGCTTCGAATCTGTAAAGCAATGTAGCTGAATCTTAGTTCCTAGCATAAGTTCCAGGTCTTTCCGAATTACAAAGGCAGTGTCAAAACCATCCACAAACGAATAAACTTCGCCACCCATGATGGATCGTACAACTCTTTTGGACTTCTTGCTCTAGTAATCCAGAATATGGCATTGAGCGTTCATGTCGCAAATCAATATAATGTATCCAAGTTGAGATGATAGATCATCGTTTGTTGCAAAAGCTGCATCGGCTTAGCACTTCAGAACGAGCGCGTGTCAACATCAAGTTTCCCGAATGGAAGCCCCTTAACATCGCTGCCTTTAGCAATCTTCACTGCATGATTAAATGCCTTTACTTTGTAATCGGACATTGTATCTTCTGTCACCTGAGCAGCTTTGTTGATACTGCAGCATAGATCAGGACGGGAATGTGCCATCCATGAAAGCTTTGCTCGATGCTTTCGAAAATGATCAAATGAGCAGCCCTTTGTGGCGATGGGTAATCTTTTGGCGTGCTTCTCTTGTGAGAGAAAGAACTTGTCTGGGGATGTGGTTTTTATCATTGTGCCAAAGAAATCGAAATTGTCGCAGACTCGCGGCTTTGCGTCAAACTTCTCGAGTGATTCAGCAGTTATCTTTTCAAACTTCTCATTGCCTGCATTGAGGTTGTCGTGGACGTAGATTCCCATTACGCCTTCAGTCTGACCATCAGATACCTTGACATATAATGCAGGATCTTCAGTGGTAGGCGTCATACTCAAGTCTTCTGTGACGTGAAATTCCAACTTTACACCCCAGTGGTCACCAGCGTCACAAACACCGTATAAGGGATTAACAGCTCCAGGAGCTCTTCATCAGTTATTCCAATTAACTCCAGATCCTCCTTTTTTGGTAAAAGGAATATCTTTCGACTTAGCTTATCTTTGCTTTGTGTATATGCTTGATTCACATCATGTGAGAAGACACGGAACCCTTTGATTGCCGCGACAGATAGTATAAGTCTGATCGATGAAGCACGTAATGCTGGAATATCATGAACCATATATGGTTTATCCTTGTCCTTGTAACCTTGTGCGACATATCTGGCCTTCTCCTTTTCGTCCTCCGTTCCTATGTTCTTAATAGCAAGAACAAATCGACCGCCAAGTACATTTGCATCGGCTTGGACAGATGACTTGGGAACTACCTTCCACACTTTTCGATCTTTCAGCCCCCTTATTTCAGCTAGCTTTGCTTTCCTGAAACCATTTGAATTTCCACGCAAGTCTACGGATTTCGACACCTCTGTGATGTGAATTCCGATGAAAGCAACTCCAAGACTTATGGCGTCGATAGAGTGGAGAGTATTCTCATCGAGCCTACTGAGCTCAGATTCGCGTATTCCTTTCATGATATCTAGCAATTCTTCATCGAAGAGATCCTTTTCAAGAGACGAAGAGCTATCTGTTACAACCGTAGTTTCCAGTGGATGATCCATCAAAAAATCGTCACCTTCAGCTATAACATTGTCATTTGGTGTTTGTCCAGCATTATCAGAGATATGATCAGAAGGATCGTTATCAGTTTGCGCAAGAGCCCCATCACTGACTTTGTATCTCTTCAATTTGTCAATAGATGCCCGGATGCTCCGATCTCCAGTGTCTAGCGTCAACATCTTACCTTCCTTATCTTTGACGACGTATGGACCAACCCACTTGCCAATAGGTTTCTCACGGTACATTAGTACCTCGTCTCCAACTGAGTAAGACTTGTCAGCGGCAGACGGCACGTTACTGCGGAGAGCGGTTCCCAGTCTAGCTTGACTTGAAATTTGACCCATCTCCTTGCAAGCAACGTCCATAGCCTTCATCCTCGCGGCATGTTCAGGGAGTTCTTTAGGGGTAATAGGAAGACGGGGGAGTATGCCAAAGACTAGAAGCGTAGGGACGAGTCCCGAAGGCCCAGCTGTGTCATTGACAGCTTTAACAGCCAGCTGAAGAGCCAGCCTCGGCTGAGTCTGAGAATTATCGGAACGTACTTTGTTGTAAACACGTCTTAGATACGAGTGGTATCTTTCACCCACGCCAAAAGCATTATGGCTCTCGACGCCTGAAGGTTGTTCCTTGATCCCAGCAGTATTAAGAAGATTCTTCCATTCAGTAGACTTGAATTGTGGTTCCTGGTCAGCGGATATCTTGTCACGAAATCCAATGTACCGGTACATCCGTATGTCCATGAAAACGTCCCATACATCTTTTGTAGACTCTCCAACAAGGAAGCATGCCGCACTAAACTTTGTATCCTTGTCTACGACATGAAACACTGTTTTTCCATCAAGGGTCATGAGATCAACACAAACAGTGCGATTGAATACGCAATCAGTTTCGGGCATAGATACTCTGAACCTATGGGGAGCATTAGCCTCGCGCTGGCAAACGTCGCAAGTATCTGTGATCTTCTGTAGGTCTCCCATGACATCAGATGATACATTAGAGGGGTCCGCACGGCGCATCAAGGCATAAACTTTGTCGGGATGAGGGTGATAAAAATGCCGATGAACTTTTGCGTAATTCAGACATTGTGAACAAAATATTCAAAGACCATTCGATGTACACCTGACCATGCTTCCTTGTCAGTAGTATATTCTATCCATCAGCCTTTGATATCATCACGTCATCCTCAAAGTCCAGTATTAGACGTGCTTTGGTCAGAACGTCCAGTCCTAGTAAGAAGGGAACATCCACATCAACGACGTCGGCCACAATGGAGAGAAAGAATGAATTGGAAACCGGGATACGAACGGTAAGTTGTCCGATCTGCTCGTGTTTGCTTGATCCGAAAGTAAAGATCAAACGTTTTCCATTAGTTCCCTGTCAAGTTCGCTGTTGACTAATGCACAGTAAGCTTCAGCTTGCTGGTATCTGATTACAGTTTTCTGGGCTCCTGAGTCAACACAGGCACCTTCAAACTGATCGCTAGCCGGAGAGTCCCAAGAGCGTGATAAGACGAATATCTCTGCAAAGTCAATATCAGAATCACTCTCGTGATCGAGTAACGTGGGGCCAGATGCTTGGGAGACGTCTTCGCTCAACGCAAGGCAGAATATCTCGACATCGTCGGGTTCTCCGGACTGATCGTCTGACTCGGCAAATCCTTTGTCGATCTGTTGGCACAGCTCAGCTAGAACAAAATGTACAGCATGTTTTCTGTCGTCCTTTTTCTTGTAGTACTCGAGTCTCATTGTGGCAGCTCTGGACGCATTTATGGGTTTCGAACAATCCTTGAGCATGTGATTTGGGTCTCCGCAATTAAAGAAACCTGCGATGTCCAGCGGTTTCTTTTTCTGTGAGGAATATCCAGTTGCCTTTGATCTAACATACCTCGGATGTTTACCGTAGCGACCCTGTCCAGTGTACAGTACCCCCAATGAGTCATCCTTCGCAACAGAGGACCTAGGTCCAGCTGCGTGGTCACGTGCCAAAGCCAGATCAGCCTCCTTGTCTAACTGCAGCGCAGCTTCTAGTTCCCCGTATAGCATCTGGAATGACAAGTTATGGGTTGCCACTCGGCTTAACGGTTCACGAGACCAACCGTATCCAACTGCAGCGTTCCTTAGGAACTCGATCTTGTGTGAGTCCCCGTGATGTGATGGTGGTACCTGACGGGATAGTTTCGTTATTAGCTTATATACTTTAGCTAATGCTGTTGATATTTCAAAGCCTTCTTTAACGAAGTTTGAAATACGTAGGGAGTTTAGATAGTTCTTCACCCTTGTCTGACGCACTGGTGAATTGTATTCTTGATTCACCATATCTACCGCCTGCTTGTAACTTTGAGCATACATCTGAACACGTTCCAGATAGAATCGCTTAGCATCCTTTGAAAGAAGGTTGTGGGGAAACTGGAATTTTGCTGTGGTGACAGTCCATAGTCGCGAGATATTTGCGATACTCGTCGACATAATCCATCCAGCATTCTCCAATATCACCGGAGAACCTGGAGCTCTTCAGCCTCATGGCGACATTATGAGCTAAGCGAGTCAGATTCGCATCACTGCTGTCGAATGAACCACCACTATCTTCAGTTACCGGTCCTGAACTATGTGGAGGTGGATCATCATTCCGTAAACCAGGTCGCACTCGTCGCCCCGATGCTATTATGAGCTGAGCCATTTCAACTGCTGCAGCTCTATTCTCAGCATCATCATAAATGCCATGTGCTAGAGTCATGATTACTCTTCTGGAAGAGTGTTGTGTTAAAGCTGCACCACGCGCGTTTAGGAAATTTCTCAAATCGACCCAAACTGTGGGCATGTCACATATTTCTTTCGAGAATAAGTGTGCAGGAGGAAAGAGTTCGGCAATGGCCTCTCGTAGCAAACTCCCTATCAGGCTCGGATCCAAAGATCTCAAGGCAACAATAAAGCCCTTTTGAGTACTGGTCAACGATGATAATGCCGCATCCGATATATTTTTCATGAACGTCGGGCGATCAGCAGGTTCGGATAGTTCGTCACTAGGTTGACCAGTTTGCGACATTACGATTTTGTAGCATAAACACCCCCAGCTATAGGGGTGTATGCACAGTTCGACCGAGACCCTTGTCGATCAGGAAGACGGGGGTGAAGCGGGACACCAGCTAACGGCACCGGGCAGCGGGCCCGGGTAGCGTGGTAGAGCGGGAACGGGGAGGACGCCGGTACGCGCGAGCGGTTCGACGCCTCGACGCCCCGGCGCGGTACTGGGTAACGATCCAGTACCGACGGGCGGAGGCGGAGCCGGCTCGTGGGCGTACCGCGCGCGTCCTCAACCCGCGCTCGGTGCCGCTTCTAAGGTAATTAGCGAGCGTTACCTTAGAATAAGCGGGAAGTCGGACCTTGACGGTCGGTGGGTGACAAGTCCGTCCTTTTCCTCCTCCACCGCCGCCGGTCCGCTCCATATTTAATGTACATAATAACCTGTCATAATAGTACAGTACCGATGTACTGTAGCGACGTACTGTAGCGGTCGGTCGACACTGTAATGCTGTCAGCCATCGGGGCTGACAGTACACGTGTGTGTGCGCGCTCTTCGGTCCCGCGCGTACACGTGTACACGTGCGCCCCCTGTACTCGGGGGTACACGTAGTGGTACTGTAGAGCATCGAGCCCTACAGTAACCGATCCGATTCTGAGTTGATCTAATCTAAAATAAAGCCCCAGGGGGGGTTATACTACACGGCCCCCCCCTTAAGCGGGGACGTCCGCGTCCACGGGTGCTTGTAGAGCGCGAGCTATGTCTAACCGCGTACTCTATATGGTCCCCTTTGCTCCTCTCCACGACTCCGCTCTCCGGGCGGTCTTCTCGGTGTCCCGCCCCGTGCCCCGTTGCGAGCGTCCGACCTCTCCCTTATCGTCCGAACTCCCCCTTCCGTTTGCCGGCTTCCGGCCCGTGCGCCAGTGGTGCGCCCTTTGCTTATGCCCGGCGCGGACGATCTGCCCTTTCACCCCTGTTTTTCTACCTGCGACGGCGACCGGCATATCGCCCACGAGGGCCTCGCACTATCACCTCAGTCGATCGCCCGATTTCGGCAGACTGCCTCGTCATATTTTCCTCTCCGACATTTCCCTCTATCCGAGCGAAAGCGCTTGATTTCGAAGCCAGTAGTACGATACGGGCACGCGCGGGGGTGATGTAGTTCGCTTGAGTCCGTCACCCCCTGGGTCGCAGCCTCCTCCACGTAGGTGGTCGTCGCAGACGATTTTGGGAGAGGCGGTCCGATGCGCGCAGTGCGGGGCAGTGGCGATGTGCCGGGAGTACCTCTTCTTGGACGGCACGCGAGAGTGACATCCCCACTCGAGACGGCGCATTGATTAAGGGTCGATCCCTTCCCACGTTGGGCTACCTCCGACGCCCCTTCATTCGGCGCATTCTGTTCGTCTAGAATGGTGAGGCACCTCCGTCGGTGGAGGGTCGGCGCCGGTCGTCTTTCTGCCGGACGCGGAAGGTTCCTTGAGCCAGCGGAACATCCGTCGCGCCTGCCTGTTTGCGTCATCCGAATTTCGTCGGACCGAGCGCGTCGCGCACGGTCCATCTCATCCTCACCTCACGTGTCCCCTTCCCAGCGAAGCGGACATCATGCAGCCAAAACTCGCTCCATTCCGCTGCGCAGGCCTGTCCTCTACCCATACACCATCGATAGGATTGGGCACCTCCAGCCCAAGGAGCACCAACCGGCACCCTTGTCTCGCGCGGCCGAGGCACCGCTTGTGGCGTGTGCTGCTGACGCACCGTACAGTACACCGCGCTGTGCCCCTGATCAAATCACAAAATAAATCGTCAAAAATTGCCCACCAAAAATTTCCTCGGCGATGTTTTGGCAAAAATCACAACACGAGCTGTGATTGGTGCGCTGTCCGCCTCTGCGCGAAATTAACCGAAAACAGTACGCCACAGCAGCTCAACATTGCCTGGGGGCGTACAGCGACACAATCCCGCGGCCCGTTTGTCGCAAATCGAGCAGCGCAACGAACTCGCAGGGTGCCGTTCTTCCCCCGACCACCGATCGACGGAGCCTGCGACCGACGCGAAACGTTCGCGAGGGGGTGCGCATTCGAGCGCGCGCTGTGCGAGCGTGTTGCTCCCTGGGCCTGACTTGGTTCATTGCGAGGCCTCTCTTCTCTGATACGCGACGCTCGAGTCGCCCCATTCCCAGGATGGCCGTACGGTGTCCTTTCATCCGACACTGTGTCGAAGCGACGGACTTGTGGTCGTGGGGAGCGGTGTCACCTGTTTTCCTCGACTGCCGAGGCAGGTTTGTTACGACGTCGCACGCGCAACGGGAACCACCCCCGTCATTCTAGATTTTCTCCGGCGCGTGCGCCCGCGCCGCATCCCAGGACCCCCTTTTGGTCCTTTCTGACGGACCACCCCCCATCCTTTTCCAGTCTCTGTCCCGTACGAACGGCATCCGGCGCCATCTCCTCGGACTTAAACACACGAACCGGCGCGCGATGTTGCCAGATTTCCCTCCCAGAGAGCTTGATAACGGCTTCATCAGGTGCAGTACCGCAATCGTACTGACCGCCGCTAAATCAGGACGCGGTTTTGGTAACCCCCTTATCCGGGGTTCATGAGGCAGCCGGTCATGCTCAGGCCGCCCCCTTGCCTTCTAAGAGGGCCTGGCTCTTGGCAGACTTTATCGTCAAGTCAACGGCAGAAAGCACGTTCGGTTGTGCCTTTTCTCGTCTTCAGTTCCGTCGACGTTTCGCAGCCCTCGAAAGCTCGACATCGCCACTACCTTTGAGGTCGGTCGCCCTTCCCTTCACTTCAAAAATTGGGGCAGGCTGTAGCGACGATTGTCCTCCTCGACTCGTAGAGCAGCGTCGCGGGCGATGGTGTACGGATCGAAAGCAAAGGTGGCTTCGCCGATTGGTCACGAGGACCCCGAAAAAAGGTAGTAGCAACCGAGCGACTCGATCGGAAGCGATGCTCATGACTCTCTACCGATGTGGGCGGTATAAGAGGATTTCCTAGCTCATGCCATCCGGTTCTTGTCCACTGACTTCCCCGAGGGGTTACTGTTACCATAGCCCACGAAGCGTACACCCACTCGTGGGCGCGACTCGACTACGTCCAACTTGGTCTCGGGGCATTGCCCTTGACAGACCGTTGTGGGTAGGGGACCCCAACTCCGGGCGGGATTACCCGTCCTTTTTTCTCGGCTCCTTCGCAGTGGTAGTGTCCTGTGACGGGAAATTAAGACCTAGGGTGCCATGCATCCGTCGCCACTTCCTTTGCAGATTTTACCGACTCATCACTTCTCTCCGCCACACCCCGCCACTTTTCCTTCATCCACCGAGCCAACACGTTTCCGAGTAGGAGGCCCAGCACAGCGCGTCACACGTGTACGCAAGGTTGGTCATCGGACGGATACCCGGTTCGTCGAACCGGTTGGCCCTGACCGCGCCTTCGATCTCTGATGCCAGCAGCGGCGTGTTAACCGCATCCCTGTCGAGGGTCAGTATGGCGGACCTTCTGTTGCCGCCGATGCGTTCGATAGCGCCAAATCCTCGTCCTCGTATTGCCTTGCGCACTGTCGCGCTGTCGCGATCGATCACGGCGACCTCTGACCTCGATGCCGCGCCCTTGGGCGTCGTCCCCATTCGCAGACGACAAAGAGGCCCTCTTCTCCGCAGTGCTGGCCCTTGACTGCGTCGTGCGCGGTCCGGCGGTGCACCCGCAATTTTTCCTCTTCCCTCGCGATCGAGACCTTTTCGAAGCATCCCCGCCTCGTTACGAGGGGCTTTCGCGACCAACGTGGCTAGTCTTGGTCCGGCGGTAGCGGGGGTTGATCGACACCGCCTTGAGCTCGTCTTAGATCGCCTTCCCCAGCTTGGGCGTCATCGCCGTGCGCGCTGGTTATTGACGAGCACCGGCCTTCGTGTCGTTGTGGGCGCCACGCCGTACGCTGTGCTCGCGTCCGGGGGGGGGAAAGGTCAGGGTGTCGCGTAACATCCCCCTGTCTAGCGCGTTTTTGGATCATGCAGCACGAAATTCGGCAGTTCCAAACGATCTTCTCCTAGTCCCTACGTGCGCGCGTGCAGAAAATAAGACGTCAGACTCAGTAGCGTAGAAGGGTTAGAGGACAACCGCCGATCACGAGCCACGGTGCCGCGTTAGTATTGCGAGGGGCCCGATCGATGCGGGCGTGCGATGTGATGGCGTCCGCCCCCTTCATTCGGTCAGAGGGCGGACGTGTGTATCTTCGAACAGATACGATTGTACCTTCGAGGATCTGCCGTCTGCTCGCCCATTGTTTTGTCGTATGCCGTACAGTACCCCCGTGCAGCGCCGTAGATTGGGACTTTTTCTCGTAATACACGTGCACTGCGACCTTTTTCCGTCCGCCGCGCAATCAGAAAATCATCCCAAAAATTGTCATAATTTCCCGCGAAAACAATTTCTGCCAAAAAATCAGAGCACGGTTCCTGATTAGTGCGCTGTCGTCTGAGGAAGAAATCTTCCCAAAATTAAATCATGGCATGCGCCGTGATTAGCGACAAAAAGTTCTAATTGGGGCTGACAGTACACGGGTGTGTGCATATATTGCTGCCCCGCCGACCGAGTTGCTCTCGCGCTTACGCCCCTTCCTTAACTATCCTGGCGACTGTTGAGGCGAACGCAGCCTCACTCGCCTGCTCATCTGAAAACGCCTTTTGCGCGTTTCCTCGCCCACGACCCCTATCGATAGGGTCATGACCACGTCGTCAGTCGGGTTATCGGACCCGGATGCGGACTGAGGGCTCGAAGTGAGCCCGAACCTTCTCGGATATTCCGAGACACAAGCAACGGGCATTCTGGTCGCTTACTCTGCCCACCGAGGGGCTCTCGTGATTCCACCGCTGATCGCCTCGTTCGTCGGGCGCCCCTCCTCGCCGTGGTTGCTGGACTTAACGGATCGTCCGGGAATCCTGTTCGGGGGGGTGTCGCCCGACTTTTCCGATCCGAACGGGGTATTGCAGTCCTCGTCGTGTCGGTCATTACGAGGGCCCAACATTTTTTTCAGGCAGTTCGTACTGTCCTGTTCTTATGTCTCGCGTCCTTGACGCCCGAGAAGTCAAGACGACTTGACTTGAACGCGTCCCCGGCTGTGACCCTCCGATAGGGTCCGCTGACCTCCTTCGCTTCCCCTTTTAGTCTGTTCGTGCAGGCTGGGGTTAATCCGCAAAGGAGCGGTTGAGGGCCCCCCCTTAAGCCTGAACGTCCGCGTTCACGGTTTGGGTGAGGTTCCTGCCGGTACGTCTCCGGAGGCGTTGGGCGTAACGAGACACCAACTCCTCCGGGACGTGAGTCCGCGCAGTCCAAGTGGGCGCGTCGTAATCCGCCCACTTGATGAGGAACTCCGTAGTTCCGTTTTCCATGAGTCGATGTCTCAGTAGCCGTTCGACGGCATACTGCGTTCCCGCGGTGACCTTATCGGCGAGGTCCCGCGGTGTCGTCGTACTTGCTCGGGGAGCGTCTATCGGAGACGGCGCGTACACGCAGCGGTCGGCGGAGACTCGCTCGGTGACCCCATCACGATCGATCGTGATGGTTCGGCGGTCATTGGCGAGCTCTCGGTAGGGTCCGAAAGCGGGCGAGGCGAGCTTGTTCGATGTCTTAGCCCCATCGGTGGGGTTGAGATATACGTATTCTCCGGGACGGAGCCGGGAATTAATACGTCGTATGCGCTTATCGAAGTCGCGATTGTAGCGAGCCTGCGTCCGACGCAGGCTCCCGTAGGCCTTTTGGATAGTCGAGTCCAAGGTCTTGAGGAACTCGGCACGTTGGTTCCCCCTATCGGAAGGGGGCACGTCGCCGTCCGCCCGTCGGAGAGAGAACTGCAGCGGTGGCCTGCTGAGCACGAGCTCAAACGGCGTGGTGCGTGTGGTGCGATGTACGTGGGAGTTGTACGCATGCGTAAGCGGCCCCACGTACACATCCCAGTCGTCCTGGTGTTCACCCACGTAGTTCCGCAGCATCGAGGCGATTGTTCGGTTATATCGCTCGACTTGCCCGTTCGTCTGGGGATGGTACGCCGAAGTGTACAAATTCGTTATCCCCAGAACGCGGCACGTGCTGTGGAAGAACTTGGCGTTAAACTGTGGTCCGTTATCGGACAGCAACGTGCGCGGGACGCCGTACTTAAACACCCACGATTCGCAGAACGCAACTGCGACCGTGTATGCGGTTATCGTGCGGAGCGCAACAACTTGCGTCAGCTTACTGAAGCGGTCCGTAATCACGAGCAGGAATCGTTTTCCTGTCTTCGTCTTGGGGAGCGGCCCCAAGATGTCGATTGCGAGGCTCTCGAGGGGCCTCGTAGCTGGAAACAACCTCAATCGGTTGAGATGTTTCCTCAGCTTGACCCGGTTCATCGCGCAGGTTCGACACCCTCGCACCGTGGCTGCTACGTCTGCAGCCAGGTGGGGCCAGTAGTACTCGCGTCGAAGTGCGTAGTACATACGGTTCTGGCCCGGGTGCCCCGCGATGGCTGGGTTGTGGCACAAGCGAAGGAGCCTGGCGCGAAGTGTCCGAGGTACCACCACCTGAACGATATCAGGGTCGAAGGGGTGTCTCCGTTTGAGCATCCCTTGGTGGTCCTCGAAGAACGCGGAGTCCCGGGACTCTGACTGTCGTGCCAAAACGGTTTGGCAGAAGTCATCCACGCGTTGCTCCTCGACTATCTCCTCTATCGTAAGAGGGGCCGGAAGGTCGTCCTGCGGTGGGGCGACCGTGGCATCGAGCACGCCAGCCTCGGGGTCTTCGGCGCGCTGGATGTCGGCGGCGTCGAACTCGTCGTTCTCCTCCCAAAACGAATTGGGTCCTTGGAGAGCGGGGGCTTCGTCGTCGCCCCTCGGTTCTTCGCGCGTCCGTGCGCGCGACCTTGTTCGGGCTTCGGCTTGGTTCCGTGTCGTTACGAAGACATGGACGGCCTGATGATCACAGCTGGCGGTACAAGAGTGGTCCGCGAGCTCGTTCGATTCGTCTCGAACTGTCGTGCCCCCGTCGAAAGTGGGGATGTCGTCATCCACCTCGACGGTGGGGCGAGGGTCATCGGCGACCTTCGGCGACACGAGTCGTGACAGGGCATCGGGCACCTGATGCACGCGTCCGGGGCGGTACTGAATGGTGAAATCGTATTCAGCCAGACGTAGCCGCCACCGGGTGAGTCTTCCGGAACTCTCGGTGAGTGACATGAGCCATCGGAGGGCGTCATGGTCCGTCCGTACGGTGAACTTCGTGCCCTCTACGTACGGCCGTAGTGTGCGGACGGCCCACACTACGGCGAAGCACTCGCGTTCGGTAGCGCTGTAGTTGCGCTCACTATCGGACAGTGAGTACGACCAATACCCCACGGGGCGCCAGTCGTTCGGCTCTTCGTGCCCCTGAAGTAAGGTGCAGCCGAGTTGGTAGGCACTCGCGTCGGTGTCTATCATGTACGGACGACCGTGCCGGGGCAACGCGAGGATCGGCGGAGCGATCATGCACTTCTTAAGGTTGTCGAACGCCTGAAGTTGCAGCTCCGTGGGGTTATAGAAATCGGGATCCGAATCCTTGCGCGTCATGTCGGTCAGAGGACGCGCAATCTTAGCGAACCCCTTAACGAATCGGCGGTATACGTTACACGCCCCGAGGAACGAGCGCACTTGCGTCAACGTCCTTGGGAACGTGAACGTCTTTGTAGCATAACCCCCCCCTGGGGCTTTAAATTAGATTAGATCAAGAACTAGATCAGCTACTGTAGAGCGTCGAGCTCTACAGTACAACCGCGCGTGTCCACGTGTACACCACGGGGACAAGGGACACGCGCATACACGTGCACACGTGTACAGCGCGCGAACGAAGCGCGCACGCACCACGAGTAATACGTGTACTGTCAGCCTCGACATAGCTGACAGTATTACAGTGCAGGCCGACCTGCACTACAGTAGCCCACTACAGTACCTCGGTACTGTAGTGTTATGATAGATTGTTTTGTATATTAAATACGGAGCGGACCGGCGGCGGCGTAGGGGGACAAGCACGGGCTTGTCCTCAACCGACAGCCAAGGTCAGTCCACCCAGCTTATTCTAAACGTCGCCTTCGCTCTTCGCGCGCGTTTAGTCGGAGCCGAGCCGGAGTGGACGTGCAGCACGCGAGCGAGCACGGAACCGCCTCCGCCCGTCAGCACTGGTACGTCACCCAGTGCTGCTCCGGGGCGTCGAGGCGTCGATCCGCTCGTGCGTGCGCGCGTCCCTGCTCGCTCCCGCTCTACCACCGCTACCCGGGCCCGAGCCCGGTTCCGTAGCTGGTTGGCCCGCTTCACCCCTTCTCCGATCCGGGGTCTACAGGTCGA